ACTACTTTTTTAAAATCTTCTACAGTCCAATTTTCGTAAGTACGAGCCCAAAGTAAACGCCTTTCTTTATTAGTTTCAGAAATTAATGGACTGAAGCGAGGAATGCGCGAGTGAAGACCTTGTTTGACCAATTCATTACAGACGGTTTGTTTGGAAATAGTTTTGTTTGTTTTATTTATAACATTTAAACGTATTTGGGAGAGGGTTTGACGTCGGGTTTTTTTATTCCTAATCACTGAACGCTTGAGATGTTTGCGTTCTGCTTCGTTAAGGATTCGTGATCGACCTGTTCATTTCTTCGGAAGTTGTTTTAACTCATATGACTTCCATACATGTCGAACAGAGGAACGAGAGCAACCAACTACTGCAGAGATTCTGGAATTTGAATGGCCTAATTTTTTTGTAGCAATAATTCCCCCTTTTTGAACATTGCTAAGTTCTTTTCTAAGACATATCGTTGCGACAAATTTTTTCTCACTATATAATGTAAAAAAATTTTTCGTGTGCCCAAATGACCTCATTTATATATAACAATGACGTTTTTTTATATTTTTAGTTAAACACAGTCACGCGTAATTAAAAATGGAAATTATGGCTTGATTTGGCAGATGTATAACGACACACGCCACTTTTGTATCACATTAACCAGGGTGGCCAATACTTTTTATACCCCTGTAGGTTGCTGAATTATAACTATCAGGGATTTGTTGCCTATGACCATAAGTAATCATTTCTCGACCATTATTGTTCACACTCTGAACAGAAATTGCTACAGCTTCATTGCCATTATTCCCTTCAGTTCCAGGCGTTGGTATTGCTGCTTGAGTTTCCATTCTATATTTATTCCATTGATATACATAAGTACCCCCAAATAATAGTAAAATACCACCGACCAATGATCCTATAGCTATGCCAATAATAGCTGATTTTGATAATGTGATTTTTGTAGCAGAATCATTTGTTGAAACATTTGACTTAACTATTGGATCAAAAATATTAGTCCAAATATATTCTTTATTATTACTAATATCAAGTAATAAAATATCATTATCAATTTTTGGATCATAACCTACTCCTATTAATTAAATATTTATTTTAGTAATTGCTTATATTATGAATAAATACATAATAACAAGTATTATTTACCAAATGATATAACCATATATTTGCCAATTACGTTTGCTTCATGCCAATGTCTGGAACTTGGAATTTTTCCAAGAATTTTTGGAATGTACCATTCGTAATTTATTAAATCTAATACATAAAGTGAATCTTGGGATTCAACAATGCCTCCAAAAATTATTACATGCTGTCTATCCAATCCTTGTTTAGCAAATATAATTGTAATGTGATTAACTGGTATTATTTATTTCATTAACACTTTTAAAAGAATAATTACCAAGAACAGCAGAAATAGCATCTCTATCAGAAGGAATTGTGCCTGAAGGTATCTAATTTAGTTAATAAATTAGTTAAAAAAATGCTTATATCATAAAACAATATAATGTAATAAACTTACTTTAATACTCCAACTATCGTTAATAGTATCATATATGTACACCTAAGATTTATTAATAATAAATTATACTTTCTTTTAATTTATATATTTAATTCATTTTACCTCTTTTAATGATAATAAATCTTAATGTGAGCCACCTTAAATAAAAAATATTTATCAAATTTAAATAGAAATATGTTGCATATATATATTCATTATGAGATTTTTTTGTTACCTACCTAAGTAAAAAATTAGCTGATTTGATAATAAAGTTGCACCATAAACTACCCGTGGAGAAGGCGTATTTATCGAACTTTCTAATTCCCAATTCAAGTTCATTGTATCTAAAATAAGCATATCATTTACAATAATTTTTTTAGATTGTCCGCCGAACAAATACATTTTGCCATTATAATCAACAATGCCTTTTAAATTATCTTTTCTAATAATAATGCCATGAATTTTTTTGAATATCAAATGCATAAACTAAATCCATTGCTGCATTATTATAAGGGATTCCTCCATATAAAATCAAGGTTTTATTATTTGCACCACCCCTGCAGCGGCATGTGCTGGAACTGTATTAGTGCTTGTTAAATCATTCCATAATATATTTTGCGTATTGAATGGAACAGAGACATCAAGATAAAAAAATTCTATGCCAATTTTTATATCAACTTTATTTGTTCCACCTAAAATGTATAATTTATCATCTATGAGTGTAGCTGTATGACTGCTTCGTTGTGTTGGCTTAAAAGAAGTCGTTTGGCAACCTACTTCAATTAATAATTGAATTAAAAGCCATAATATGATTGAATATTTTTTTAACATAGTATACTAAAAAAATTACAGTAAAAAGTTAATTTGTTAAAAAAAAAAAATATCACTGGCGAAAAAAGATAATCTTGTTCATATTACAAAGGTTGATGGTGAGAATCATGAATTGGTGGAGAATCTTGTAACTAATATTTTTTATTTGATGCATTCATATTTGTTACATTAAAATATTTTGTAATGTACACAAAATGATTTTATTGGTTGCTCTAAATTTCGATGACGATTATTTTCACTTCACATATACTGTATGTATATGACAATTTCTCGACAAACGCAATATAATTATCTCTTAATAATAGCTAAAATTAAAAAATTATTATTATTTGAATAATAAAGATTTTGACTTGTATTTAATTAGTAGTTAAAGTAACCGAATATCCGGTGTTCGCAAATCGTACTGCGCCTCAAACGACCTCACACTGCGGCGATTGTCACAAAAGTTAACGCATGTAACGAACGTATAACGTTTGAATTATTTTAATTTATCTATTACTACTTATAATATTTAGTTTATTTTCATTATTTATTTTTTTATTAATGTATTATTTATCATTAACAAAAGGCGTAGTATAACACTAGTTAACAATTTGTATAAATAGACTTGTAAGTAGACCTTAAGTCGACAGAAGAAGTTTTTGGATATAAGTCTTGGACTTATAACTATACAATAAAGATACTATTTTACACTTTCAACCTTCTACTTGTCTTCATTAAATATCTGATTGTGATGACTAACTACACAATTATAAATTGTTTTAATTGTTTATCGTTTATTTCTCTTAGGAAAGGCCTTGAGATATTAAGGTATTTGGTTTGTTAGCTTGGTTTCGGTGCAATTCCAGGTCTAATACCGGTCCGGTCAATAATATTATCGAATCGAACATCGTAATCTATTGGTCATATCCGGGATAATGTGATTATGGATTGAACGATTCGGAATAATAGTTTATAAAAATCTCAAAAAATGATTTGCGAAGTTTTAAATAAAAAAATTATCTAAAATTTTACTGGTTGAAATTCAGGACGCAGTCATTTCAACTTTGGCAAAATTTGCAGTTTTTGGTCTGCTCCATTTAAAACTAAAATTTAAAATTGATCGCTATAAGTAATAATAATAAAAAAGAGAATGGAAGATACGTAAAAAAAATAATGATTAGTAAATCTTTACATGTTTATACTACATTGCATATGAGGCTGTTGTGAAGCTTGCAATATCTATAACAAAGAAACACCGACATAAATATATCACTAAACACATTTTCAGATCTGAAATTATTCAAAAGTAAAGATTTTCGTCATTATTATCTTCACTGAATTTTTTATTTATATTTCAAAGGTCATGTGATAATGTTTCCTTCCACCAGATTTTAAATCTTTTTTGTAATATTTATGGCGTAAATTGTATTACTTTCGTACAATAGAAAGGATACACCAATTTGGAATCCCAATTAGAACTTTATAATTCTGCAATGTAACAAAACTATTACGCATTGTGATCAGACATATAAGTTTCGTGCGTGTAAAAAGTATAAATTTTCGTAAATTGTCTGTAAAGTGTAATCATGTCAAAGAACAATTCTATATATATCATTTTGTGGTTTACAATACAATTATTAATTGAAGTAAATTGCCAAACGACTCCTTTTAATCCATCGCAACGACAAGGTCACACTGCTACACTTATTGATAGTAAAATATATATCTTAGGTGGTCGAAATAATGTGAATACTGTAAAAATTGGGACTGAATTTTTTTATCTTGATGTCTCTGTTACATTTAATGCGCAAAATATATTATGGCATGATTTAACAAGTATTAATATAGTTCCAAGGCATAGTTCTGCTGCATCTGTTAGTGGTGGTGCAAATAATAAAACATTATTTTTGTATGGAGGACATAACGTTAATAATGAAGTAACAATGTCTTTAGCTTATACATTTGATACACAAAGCAATTCATGGAGTATTCCAAAAATAGCAGGTAACGATGTTCTTAGAAAAGATAATCTAAAAGGCATCGTTGATGATAATGGGAAAATGTATTTATTCGGTGGAAGCTCCAATGACACTGATTATAATGATATGCTTATATTAGATACAATAAATTTGAAATGGGAAATAGGAACTACAGTTAATGCGCCTTCTCCAAGAAGTGTTTATGGCGCAGTTTACGTCCCAAAACAGTTCATTGTTTATTTAGGTGGTTATTATGGCACAACTAATAATGATGGCGTATCTTTATCATTGAAAGAGGTGAATTATTAAAATAAATACATAAAATTATAAAATTTAATTTTTTAAATTTTGATTTAACAATTAATCAACCATTAGATCTACTACTATGACTTGATTTCTAATAATTGGCTTACACGGGTATGTTTGTTGACTCTATAATATTATTAATAATAAATATTTTAACTATATATGATTGATTTATTCAGATGACTTCTGGTACAATTCCTTCTGATAGAGATGCCTTTTCTGCTATTCTTGGTAAGTAATTTATTAAAAATAATCCTAATAATAATCATGATTTTCAAACTTCAATTAATTATTGCATTTTATAATTTTTAATTAAGGATTGGATGGGCAACAGGTGATAATTTTTGGAGGAGTAAATAATCTTAATAATCTCAAATCTCAGGATACTCTTTATGTATTAAATTTATTAAATTTTGAATGGAGTATTCCAAAAATTTCTGGAACAATTCCGGGTTCCAGATATTGGCATCAAGCTAATGTTATTGGAAGATATATGGTTATATCATTTGGTAAATAAATTTTTATTTTTTTGTTTGTCATTTATTATACAAAATATAAATTTGTTATTATTATAAATTCAATAGGGTTTGGTTATGACAGTAATGTTGATAATGATATTTTATTACTTGATATAAGTAATAATGA